CAGCTGCTGGTACAATGTGCACTGTGATTTTTATACCCTGCACTATCTGAAGTAAATGCTATGTATACAACATTTTTGTTTGTTTGACTTTTAACTAGTAGTATGTCAAAGGAAATAAAATCATATTTTCTGGAACTGACTTTTCCTTGATGATATTCCCATTTGCTACTTACATAATTGTTAAACTCCTTTCAACAACTCTCTCCATTAATGAGAAAATGTGTTATCATAAAATCTAGTAGATAGTCTATTTGATTAGGAAAGTCTTTGAAAACTTAAAATCTGCAAAGTTTGAAATTTAGAAGTTTTAAAATTTTTCAATCTTTTCCAATTCTGAGAGGCTAAAAGTATGACTAACAGGCAGCGTTTTTAGGTTAAGTTCATCAGAGTTTTAGCCTGCTTAATTTGTTTTCACTGTACATGTAAACATCCCAAGATGAAAAAGAGTTCTGAATTGAAACACATTTTTCTGTAGTTTGTTCCTGGCCAAAAGTTAATTTTTTTTTCAAAAACAATTTAGATTTCAATGACTTGCCTTTCTCCCAGTTTTGAAGGAACACACTACGAATGGAAGAAGAAAACCAGACTTACAACTTCTCTCCTCCGCATCCCTTTCCATGCGCTGGGGTGGGTCTTCTGGAGCAGAGTTCACTGTTCCTTCAAGGAGAGCTGCTGACTTGTGCCAAGGCTGCTCCTTCAGGTGGAGGGGTTATTGATGGATGTGCAAAGGGCTGGAGCCCTCCTGCTTCCACAGTCCCACCTTTGGAGGTGCTGTGTTTCGGAGGCTTCTCTGGGCATGCCAAGCTGGCTGCGGTGGGATGTGCCGTGGTGCAGTTCCTCTGTGTCTTGGGTACGGAGCTGCAGAGCAAAAGCACGGTGCCCGAGGAGCAGGTTTTCTTCTCCCTGTAGTCTTAAAGTTTGGTTGGTTTATGTGAAGCCATATCTCTCTATCAAGAAAAGGTTCTCTGGAGTATCTGCTGACAAGTGCCAGATTTTAAATGATCTCTCACACTGTAGTTAGAGAACATTAAATAGGGGTGGAATAAAATAATCAATCAAGAAACAAGATGCTGCTTCTGGTCTAGATGAGAATCTTGCCTGCCAAGAAAGCAGAAAAGTGTTTTTGTTTTTTTTTTTTAAATCAGGCTCCGTCTAGATGCACAGCCTGGAAGAACAGCATCAAAATGCCACGTTTATCATCCCCTGGCTGTTGGCCATGTTGGCAGAGAAGGCTGGGAGGGACGGTCAGGAGGCCTGTCTGGCTTTTTGTAAAGCTTAATCGGTAACATGGTATTAGAGAGACAGCATGGGCTTCAGAAGGGGAGGGTGCGGTTGCGTTAGCTGGGTGGAAAGTTGGTTTTGGCCTGCGTGGGCGCTTGCAGGTTGACTGAGCCCCGCAGGACAGGCGGCGGGGGAGACCTCGCAGGTTCGGGCTGCTCTGGCTGCAGGTGGTCTGTGGTGCAGACACAGTCACAGCAAAATGAGTCACCGGCGCTGGTGTTACAACTTCAGGTCCACGTAGATGCTCGCAGGATGGTGAGGACTTAAAAGATAAGGTTCCAGGCACAGGGGTGGTTTTTGAGTGTCGTCACGGAAAACTGTGAATTGAGTTGCTTTGTCGTAGCAATTTAAGACTTTTGCTTTACAGGCCAGGGGTGTTTCTTTTCAGTGGCGCAATATATGGAGCCATTTAAAATTAGAGTTGGATAAAGTATACTGCACTTTTACTAAAATGCCTTGCTAATAACCTCTTAATAGAAAATTCTGAAGTGTTTTTCAGATTCTTGCTATAAGAAATTCTCTTGAAATAAAATATCTTTCCTTTAAGAACCCCACACCTCCTCCACTGAAGAACCTTGCTTTGTTGCAGATATGGTGTATGATTTTTATACTTCAGTTGTACGTACTGTTTGAGTTAACGTTTGTCATTAAACAAAATGCAACATTCAGAATTTTCAAATCCAGTTAATTATAGGCACGTTTAAAAGCATGCTTAGATGTTTATCTAATAGTAATTATTAGTAATCAGTAGTAATTTTAACTCTTTCATTCTAAATGAAATTAAAATCATAAAGCTAAAATTTCCTGTGGAACAAGAACTTAGTTTGCTGTACTACAGCATTTTGGAAGTGGTAAAACAGCGATGGCCGTGGCTCAGTCTGTTCTGTGAAACTCTCCCCGCGCCCAGGTTTTTGTGAAGCTTGCTCCTCCTGTCTCCGTCGCGTAGCTGGTCAAGGAGAGGAAAACCTGGGAGAGGCTGCAACGCCTGTGCAGCCCGTGCTGCAAACAGGCAGGAATTTCTGGAAAAGCAGCCAGTGCTGGGAATAGGAGTGCCAACTGCCTTCTCGTGACAGATACACAAAAATAGGTTTTTAATCATCCTAGTCTGATGTGTATTTTGCTCAACGTTTACCGGTCTGGAAAATTCTGAATATTCTGCTTTGCACATTTGCATAGCAAGGAGATGCTGAACTTCAGCTCACAGAGAACATGGATGTTTGGGAGTCGTGTCTAATCCCAAGTTAATACTTTGTATTATCAGTCAAGCAGTTGGGAGAGAATCATCTCCCAAGATACCTTTCTTTTTCTGATCTGTTGGATGAAACGCCTGAAGAACAGTTATTGCATTGATCACAGGTACTTTGATTTTGATAATCCTCAAACTTCTGGGGAGAAATTACTCTTGCTCAGTGGAGCCTTGTGGTAAACTTGGGATGTTCTCAATGGATTAAAGGCCTTGAATTAATTTCTGTGAAGTTGCTGTGTTGGTGCTCTGGCCTTCCCCTGCCCAGCACAGACCAAAGGCAGTGCAAGGCAGAGCAGAGCTGTCAGATCAGGGATCTTTTTCTGTGGATTCGTTAAACCTTCTTCATCAGAAGATTAATTTCTCAAAAGCTCGTCCTGCCTCTTTGGGTGGCTCTATATCTATCGAAGGTACAAATCTCTTACAATGAAACTGCTCAGTATGCAGCCAGCTTTTTTTATCCTTAAAGCTGTTGAAATGCAGGATAATCAAAACGGGCTTAGTTCGCTATCTTAGTCAAACCAGGTCAGTACTTGCTAATTTAAATTCTCAGAAAGGTAGGTTTTATTCTGATGGAAATTAAGGTCTTCGGATGAAACAAGCAGTAGTTTTTATGAATGGGATATGGCCCAGGGTCTCCTGCTCTGATACCACAGTAATTAGTCTCAGCATGGAGATCCGAATGGAATGGCTGTTCATCCGTGCTGAGGATTAACAAGATGTTGGAAAAAAGAGAAGGCTTAAATTACGTTGAGAACAAGGTAGGAGAGGATGTAAACGAGGTGGTGTTTCATATGATTCCAGTTTTCTCATCATCAGGGCGTTTCATACATGTGAATAAATACTTTGTAGGTCAATTTCTTACATAGATTCCCTTTCCCTCTCCTGTAGAGCGTAATAGCCAATACTAACAAAGTAAATAGAGTAGTAAGAGCTGTAGGTTTAGGGCAATACAACACTCCCCTTGAAGTTGAAACCTAAAAAAGCCAAGAAAAAGCAGTGAAAGTTGATCCCTGCTGATAATCCTGGGGAAGCAGCCCGGCTGGAGAAAGGGTGCTCCTGCTCTGCGTGAAGGCTTGGCCAGGCTGGGAAGTAATTCTATGAAGGTGCTCTGCACAAGCTGGGTGTTCGTGGTGTGCTTGTTGCAGGAGGTTGTGCTGGCCAATAGTGTGTTCTGCTTTGGATGGAGGATGAACGTTTCTGTTGGTGGGAGCCCAAGTGACCCTGAAGGCAGGCGATCGGTTCCGTTGGCCAACCAGGAAAAGACCAAAGTAGACGAAAATGCTGAAAAGCTGTCCCTCCTTTGTAGCTAGCTTTCCCTCCCAAATATCTTGCATCAGTCAACTCTGCAGTTCGGGAAGAGCCAGGAGCTGTTGTGTGGGGCTGCGAAAACCCCACAGAAATAATTTCTGCAGCATGCACTTTGCTCTGGGAGCTCCTGCCTGGGCTGTGGGGCAGCCTAGTAAATAGGATAAATATTTTCCTCTTTCTGCAAATTTGTGTTAATTTCTGACACATATATTTGTTTTACAAGTGCTTAATGAGGCAAGCTTTGCTGCTGTCCTTCACTGCTAGGTATAGAAAAGGGTCTACAACTGCTGTGGAGGCGTGTAAGCTGCCTGTGGCTTTCTGCGGACCTCGGCCACTCTCAGGTGGCTCGCGGGGCTGCGGGAGATGCCTGCGCTCGCAGTCGCAGCAGCAGCTTAGCCAAGGCGTGGAGCTGAACCCAGGCGGTGGGCTTGCCATCTGCTTTGCTTTCTTCTCCACCCCAATTAGTATCTGCAGCATTTGATGAGGGGGCGGTTTTGGTCGTGTGCTTCGTAGAACAAGGCAGCTGTGGGTTCATCTGGTTATAGTAGAGAGTAAACTGCATTTGAGCTCTCTCCTTTTATTAAAGTGGCCCGGGGATAATTGCTTACTCTGCTTTTTTAATTAGTCCTCTTAGTGGGGGACAAAACATTTCTTTCAAGATAAAAATACATAGCCCTGATAATGTCATGTAATATTATTTAGGGCTTGAGCCCTGAGAATGGTCCTTGCCATCTCAGAGTTTCTTTTTCACACCTGTTTCTGCACTACCCTTCTTCTTTAAACTCATAATAAAATACTTGGAGCAGAAGGAACCGTAATGATTCTGTGATTGTTTCATACCTATGCTCATTATAGGTCTTATGTCATTCTTAGAACAAAAATAATCTTTTTTTCCCCAGATCTACCACTCTAAGCTTCAATTTTATTTATTTAGAAAATTGAGTGTAAATTGTGTTATCTCTGAACTGAAATTGAGAGTTTCACTGCTGCTTTGCATTAGAGTTTTTTCAAAATACACAAACATAACTTTCAACCCTGAGCACAGGCAGTAGCATTTCAATGGACAAAAACAGAAACGAGGCAAAAACAAACAAGAAGGGAGTTTTGTTACCATTAAATCTTTTTTTTCCCCTCCTTTTTACGTAGGTTCCTAAAAATTAGCACTATGACTGATGGAGACTATGATTATCTGATCAAACTCCTGGCCCTTGGAGACTCTGGGGTTGGAAAAACAACGTTCTTGTACAGATACACCGATAACAAATTTAATCCAAAATTCATCACAACAGTGGGGATAGATTTTCGGGAAAAACGAGTGGTAAGTTGTCTCATACAAATGATAGCACCTTCTGTTTTCTTTGTTCATTTCTACTGAGAACAAATCCTATGTAAATGTGTACTGTCTCTCTTACTGTGGGGTATAGCATGTGTTGATAATGCTTTTCCTGGTCTAGTTTTCAGCTTAAGCAAGTCATAATTAGGAACTGAATAAAGGGGAAAAATATCATTATCCTTTTTCTGATCTTGGATTGTGGAGTGGTTTATTGCACATTGGTATAGAAGGATCTTTCAAAGAGCAGGTTTCCATAGTGCTAGTGAATGAGGTGTGTTTATGGCTGGACGTAACTCTGTCCCCCAAACTCATCGTTTAAATAGAAAGGGCGGAAACTTGCAGAAGCACAGAAGGTTCAGCTTATCTTCCCATCACACAGTAAGCTCGCGAAGGCACAAGAAGCAGTTCCACCAGCTGGACCACGCTGCTCCTCTGAGTCGCTGCCAGCAGCAAGGCTGGAGACTGAGCGTACCGAGCCTGTGATCAGGAGTCCTCATAGGTTAGGATCTATGTGCTTCTTAACGCAAGGTGTGCAAGCCTACTCTGCTGTGCTTTGTTTCTTGATGTTAAATAGAAGATGAGAGTCTTTTGTAGTGTTATTCAGATGCTGTTTGTGGATATGAGAGCACACTCGCTTTGTTTTAATTTAATGTGACTAATGTATCTGCTTATAGATCCTGACAACTGATACAGGCTAGATATACGGGACAAATTCAGCTTTCTCATAGGAATCCCTCTAGCTTGCTTGAACAGTAAAACCAGAACAAAGATATTAGACCCTGGGACATTATTTTAGTCATTGCCTTAATAAAAAAAATGTAAATACTTGGCCAGTTGAAAGATGGAGATGTCTTTAAATTTGATTTTTTTGAACTTAATGTTTTAAGCTACTATTATTTCACTAGAATACTATGAAAAGATGGACATCACTCCCCCATTCACCTTCATCTTCCCTGGCAACTTTTTCATGACTGCCAGTATTTGTGGCTGCTGTGCCGAGTTCAGTTTTGCCATGGTGACAGAGGCATGCAGGTTCTGCCTGGAAGATGGGGGTTCAGGGACCCCCTGAGTAATCTGGATTCTGTCTTAAATTCCTCATAATCAGCAGTACGCAAGTTCAGGCCAGTTAAACGTGATGCTCAGGTTGGAGTGGAGCCTGGCTCCTTCTCTGCACTGTGGGATTGCACTGATGTAATAAGAGTAAAATATTAAAAACACAGTTTTATTGCAAGGAAATGTCTGAACACGCAAATTGCCAGAATACGTTTTCCCTGGCTGGTCAGACGCTCATTACCGTGTTTTGAACACGGGTGCTGCATTCCTTCCAGAAGGTTGAACTTTTTTGCGAAAAGTTGCAGACAGATTTCTTCCATAATTTTCCATTACCGTACATTTTGGGGTAAGATAGTTCATAAGTGTGGGAGAAACTGCATCTTATGTGAAATTACCAGCTTTGGAATGTCTTGAAGGTCTGTCTAACAAATTGTCTTCTAAGAAAGAGATCTAAGATTTTTTCCTGTTGTGTAAAAGTCATATTAAAAGAATGACCCTGTGAGATTCCTTGTTTATCACAATAATATTACAGGTACATGCTCCAGCAAACTAGTTTAATTCACAAATGCGGTGCGGTTGATCTTTTTGATTCTTTTCTGGTTTTCAGATCAGGCACCTGCCACAAAGGAAAGGCAGGCATGTTGTGGTCAGAAACTACCTGTTGAAATGGCAAGAGTTTAAAGAAGTCCACATTATCTCAGAATAGCCTAGGCTGGAATGGACCTCCAGAGGTCATCTGGTCCAACTCCCAATTAATATTAACTTGGTTGTGCAGGAGAACTAAATGCTGTATTTTACAGACCAGGGAGGGCAGGTGAGCCAGTCTTCCGCTTCCCCGGGTAAGGTCAGTGCAGCCTTCGGGTACAGACATGTCGGTGAAGTCTATATTCTCTTGACCTGAATGCAAGGGCAATATTTGCTTGCTTTTAAAATTGCTGAGGATCTGCTAAACTATCTCAGATAACAAAACCCACTTACACTTATTTTATCCCACTGTCTTTTACTGCAACAGCTAATTTACACGCTGTTTCTATGTAATAAAGAATTGAGCTCCAGCAAAAGGTCACAGTGATTTCTTTAAGCACTATGAGTTTGCAGTTGTAAGGAAGTCATTAATGTCCAACAGAAGTTAATGAAGAAAAAATAGCTTTTTATAATAGTGGTTAATCCTGTCAGCCAGCTGTAAATTTTGTAAGAACAGCAATGAAACAGAATGCAGACAGCTTGATCAGCACAGTGCTATGCCAAGTTTTAAATAATTGGTATCTGATATGAAGTACTAAATATGACCAAATTATCTTTAAAGTGCAGCTTTCATAGATGTTTAATGTGGCTCCTGGGTTTTTAAATATTATTATAAGCAGCCCTCTGAAGTGGCTTTTAGAGGTAAGAGTCAGCTTTTACTGAAGGACTGAGCTTTTACTCCTTATTACTGCTTGCACAAAACATAACAGTCTGTGACCCACGTGATGGATTTCAGTGTGAGCTGTACTGATTTGACTCTCTCGTTAGGTATACAACAGCAGAGGACCAAATGGATCGCCAGGAAAAGCCTTCAAGGTACATCTCCAGCTTTGGGACACAGCCGGACAGGAAAGGTAACTGGAAAGCAGTTCTGAGTTTTTCACATTTCTGGGTAAACCATTAGTCCATTCAGGTGGAAAATATCAGAAATCCTCATATTTTAGGCCAAGAAAAATATCTTCTAGAAATAAAGTTTTTCTGATGCTGCTTTGATGCAGTGATCAGAGGGTGTCAGAAAATAGGACTGGAAGAACTGAAGGTGGTCTGCTCCCTGCCCTCAGCAGCACGCTGCCTCCTTTCTGGCACACATGGGTTATTGGATTGTTGGTTAGCTTTTTTGTTTGTTTTGTAGTGTTATTTTGGCTTCATAATACATTCCTAATCACCTCTGTAAGATAATGTATAACCTACCGAAGTGTCTTGTTCTTGTATTTCACATTTTTTCTGTTAGGTTGGATGGTAGGGCATGTTTTGATGAAGGTGCACAGCGTACAGGACTGCATTGGCACACGTGTGGCCATCAGACTGAGGGAAGTGGTTATTCCCCTTTATGCAGCACTTCTGAGGCCACATCTGGAGTACTGTTTCCACTCTTGGGACCCCCAGTGTGGGATGCTTTGTACTGATAAACTGAAGTCCTGCGAAGTGCCGTTAGAATGGGTCAGGAGGCAGAGGCATGAGATGATCCGGTGAGGGCTCAGGGGGCTAAGCTTGTTCAGCCTGAAGATGGGAAGACTAAGAGGAGGCTAACTGCTGTCTTCGTCTACCTAGTGGGGAGAAGACAAGAGCCAGACTCTTCTCAGGCTCACAGCTAAAGGGCAAGAGGCGGCGGTCACAAGCAGCAGCAAGGATATTCCAGCTAGGTAGAAGGACGCAAGTGTTTACCATGGGAGTGGTTAAGCCCTGGAGCAGGTCACTCTCGAGGCTCTGCAGTTCGTGTTCTCGCAGGTGTTCACAACTCAGGTGGACAAGGTCCTGAGCAGCCCGATGCCTTCCTTAAGTCCTCTCCAGTGTATGTGCCCTGGGCTTGCTCAGGCTTTTCGATCATGAGCAGGCTTTCTGTTCTATGCTGTCCCAGGCTGGTTCCAGCCTCTCTCACCACCAGCGTGCAAGTGGGATGGAGAATTCTAGTTCAAGTCTTAACAGTGCGCAGTAGTGTGGAGGAATTGCTTCCTATCTTACTTTTATGATTTTTGTTGTGCTTGCCTTCTTTGCAGTAGCATACCGTGGTTGACATGTATTAAGTTCATGACTGACCAGAATGCTCCTTTGCAGAAGGATTCTTTTGTCTAACCAGTTTTTCCCCATCTTCCATGTGCACACTTACTTACTTGTTTTTTCCAAATACCTTCTTGACTTGTCACTATTAAATTTGATCATCTTATTTTTTTAAAGGGAGAAGTGTGCCTCCCTGCTGCTTTCTTAAGCTTCCCCTGGCTAGTTACGTACACTGGTTTTTGCTGTCGTAAAGTGTGTGAGGTTGCCCTCAGTGTGACTACTGACGTCATCTGTCAACAAGGGCAGAAAATGCGACTCACGCCTATTTGCTGTGTAATGGTGACTGAAGAGCAGCGGACTGAAACGTTTGCCCAGTGGGGAGGAAGGAAAGTCGTGATGAGGCAGGTTTCAGGTTTTGTGAGCGGTGCAAATACCACATGGGAGGGGTTGCTGCTGGATGAAAAGCAGAAGCAAGCTGAAATTTTGTGTCTGCATCTCTTTCC